ACACACACTCTCACACACACTCTCACACACACACACACACACGCGCACACATATACACACACACACACACTCACTCACTCAATGAAAGTTTTGTTCAAGAGAGCAGCTGAATTGCAACAGTATGATGCTAAAAGAAGAAAGTGAAGAGATACAGAACTAACAGAGGAAAATAACACAATTAGTTCTGGCTCACAACTGAGACCAGGAGAAAATACCAAAAGCCTGCTCTTCTGTGGAGCCGTGTGAGATGTGTGGGTTTACTGTGATACACTTACGAGACAAAATTGTCCCTAGAAGTGAGCTAACACTGGCGAAACCCAGCTTTGGGCACAGCCTGTAAAGGAAGCAATGATTTCTCAATGTTTTAACTGTTATGATGTTATCTTTCAGGGGTTAGGTTGGGGTTAGTCTCAACCTCAAATGGCAAAAGTTGCTCAAATCATCACCAAGTTCTAATCTGACTGACAGCTTTATACACTATCTGGGTGTCAGGGTCTGCTTTTGTTTGAGGCACTTAGTCATAGGCGGAGGGTGAACCAACTCCAGGGTAAGGCTAAAAGCAGCCAAATGTATTAAACATCATAAACCCGTCTTTTTAGGCAAGAACCAGACATAGGTGTCATGTAGGCTAAATTATTTTTAATGGGACTGAATTTGTATTTAACGTGATTACAATTGAATAAAAACGTTAGAAATTGATAATTATATAACGTTTCATTTCCACGTTTATTCAAACAGCGAATAAATAATATATAGAAAGTGACATTATCACTAACATTGATCTATCGCGAGTTTTTAAGCACTCTCAAAAAAAAAAAACTCATTATAATCACTGAAGCTGTATACACTGTGAAATGAATCTCTTACTTGCATTGTACGTACATCTGCGTTTTGTTGTTTATGATGAGAGAATTCGCAAGAGCCCGGAATTCAGTCACGAACATGCGCGCACTCAACAAAACTGATCTGACTCATCTGAACGCCTCTGATTGGCCATTGCATTCCTAAGCTCAACAGAATTGTGTGTGATTGGTTAAAATGCTCAACAATGTAAAAACGCCTAAAATGAAATACGGTGCAACATGAGCAGATCTTAATTTAATGCCGCAATCGACACTGTCTATTCATATTCACTTTGTTAGCAACAGACGTAATAGATTTAATTTGTTTGTGCAGGGGCATTTTTGTCCAATTTAGTGGCATTTTTGCCCCAAGTCCCCATTGCCAGGGGAAGGCTAAGCCTTCCCCAGCCTTACACACACTTCGCCTATGCACTTAGTATTTAGTTAAGTTTGTTGGTTATATCTGAAAAATCTGTTCTCATTACATTTGGACAAGTCTACACACCTTTCTGTTATTTTAGTGTTTTCTATGCAACTGTTCAAAGAGACTGTCGCACCGTGATTTGATTGACACCCTTCTGTCATTGTGGGTGGTTCTTAGATGCGGTGTGGACCAGACTTTAGACCAATAGCCAAAAGTGTGGCTGCATTAAACCAGGTTAGGAATTGTCTGTAGTCTTTTAGTTTGATGTAAAAACATCAGAAGTCTATGATGCTCCCTTGTTTAGATTAGATGACGTTAGATAAGCGTGTGTGTTGGATGGTCAACAGTTAAACTTGTTATTCTGGTTACACACTAACACACACACCTTTATTTCCCAAACACAGTCAGGTTCAGCCTCTGCTCACCTCCACATGTTCAGTATAGTGGCCTACAGTCCTAACTATACATCGGTTATTAAACTGATTTAAGTCTCACCGAGTACACACTGACACATTTCAGATCACTTTGAGCCAATGGTGAGTGAGTCAGATGTTCATTTAATAAGTGCCTTGAGTGATTCAGTGAGTAAGTGAGCTGTTTTAGACCAATGAATTAGCCCATCGTTTGTGAAAAGAACCAGCTCGTATGAGTCATTCATCTTTTAGACATTTCGTTCAACTCTAAAACACAATGCATAATTCACAATACGTGTAAAACACCTGTGAACAACCAATATGGAAAATTCTTCACGTTAACGGGTTAATTGGGACCTATTTTCATGGACTTTTCTTGTGTTAGTTGAAACTGCGAACTCCTGGCTGCATCATTTTACTTCTGCATTGACAAAATGTCACGGAAATCGTTCCAGTGCGTTTTATTTTAAAAAATGGAAACATTTTTCAATTCCCAGCCCTACTGATATGAGTGTTATTGTCATGGTTGAGTGTGTGCAAGTGTGTTTTGTTAGGAATCAAGGTCAGTACTTTGAGCAGATTGGTGACATGGCAGCCAATTAGATTGACTGACTGACTGACTGACTGACTGACTGACTGACTGACTGACTGACTGACTGACTGACTCGCTCACTCGCTGACTGACTGACTGACTGACTGACTGACTGACTGACTGACTGACTGACTGACTGACTGACTGACTGACTGACTGACTGACTGACTGACTGACTGACTGACTGACTGACTGACTGACTGACTGACTGACTGACTGACTGACTGACTGACTGACTGACTGACTCGCTCACTCGCTCACTCTCTCTCACACACACACACACACACACACACACACACACTCTCACACACACACACACACACAGGGTGGAGGTGTAATCTGCTGTAATGCAGAGCTGCTGAATCCTGTTTGACATCAGCAGCTCTTAAACCGCCGCACACGCTTCAGAACACCGCTAATCTACCCCACAAACACTCAGTCGCTTGGACCTCTCTGGAGCACTTGAAGTGACTGCTCCGTCTTGGCATTCAGTGGGTCAGGTATTTTTGTATAATGATGCTAAACCGACTGTTGTCTCTAGCCAGATTTCCTAGCTGTTCTAGTCTCATGTCTCTCGTGTGAAAGCTTTTTTCTGAGAGTGTAGGAAAACAGATATAAATGTTAAATGTGATGTCTACATTTCTAAAATCCTCTGAGCGAGTCCTAATAGCTCTGGATTCCCATTTCTCACATACGGGGCTGACCGTCTTGGTGTTTGTTCGTGTTCCTCCAGAGCGACAGAGATGATCTTGGCTCGAGCGCGACAGCTGGCTGACGTTAAGAAGGAAGATGGTTTCTCTGCTCTGCATCTGGCCGCCTTGAACAACCACCGGGATGTAGCTGAGATTCTCCTCAAAGAGGTGTGAGATTTAGCTCACAATTAACTCCAGAAATACTGTCTGCTTAAAACATGGGCAAAATACATGTACAGTAATACAACTACAATGGAAGGCAAAGTGTGGAAAGTGTGCAGAAAATTACAGAACTGCACAGTTTTGGAAGTATAACAGTAATGTCTCAACATTCCTAATAAATTGAATGAAGTGATCTAATAAATCACTTACCAATCCTTTCTATGTAAGGTTATATCCGGACTCTTGTCCTCACCATTGAAAATAGGAAGGGATGTTACGTGACTATTCATAAAGCACTGGTCACATGGAGCAAACTCTACCACATGAATTATGTCAGGAACATCAGGATGTTCATCTGCATAGAAAAGTTGTCATACCTAAAAAGGATAATTTAAACAGCTTGAGAGTCATTGGTGTATTTTAGCTGAGAATAACAAAATATGTCTGCTTTTTAACCCCCAGTGCTCCTGCTCAATTAACTCTGTGTATACACACAAACACCCTTTTATGGCGTTATTTTACTGTCAAATGTCGAGAGCGCACTGTTGTAGCGCAAAAGTACATTGTTATGATGCGCGAGCGCGAATCTCTCCGCTCGCACGCGGATTTCTTTTGCTCTCGCACTAAAAACCGGACGCACGCTCTCAGATATGTGCTGCTCTCGCCCAGAGAGTGTGCGCGCACTTAAGACGTGTCCGTTGCCATCGCGAATCTCTCCTCGTGCTCAAAGAGTGCCCGTGTGCACGCTCAAATGGTGTCCTTTGCACTCGCAAATTTACATTTACATTTACATTTAGTCATTTAGCAGACGCTTTTATCCAAAGCGACTTACAATTGGGGGATACATAAAGCGATCAAACCAATAATAACTAAACTAATGACTAAACCTTGTCAAAAGTTATCAACCAATCAGACTTCCACGACTGAGTGATGAAAATGCTACGTGAAATCTAATTGGCTAAGAGGGAAGTGCACCTGTTCCTTTGACAATCAAAGATGGATCTGCAATTTCTTTACAAATTAATAATATTTAGTCATATTAATCAAATTTATATTAGAAATGGCTAGGACCAACCAGTTAGACAGACAGATTACTAGGTTATTTATTTGCACAAATCATCCAAGCACCCCAATTCCAGCAATTTCTAATATACATTTGATTAATATGGCTAAATATTATTAAATTGTAACGAAATTAAAGATCCATCTTTGATTGTCAAAAGAATTTCAGGTGCAGTTCCCTGCAGCCAATTAGATTTCACATCGCATTTTCATCGGTCAGTCCTGGAAGTCTGATTGGGTGATAACTTTTGACAACGTTTAGTCCAGGTGCGAAAATAATTAATTTCTAGCGCAAGAGCACGGAGAGATTTGCGAGTGCAAAGGACACCATTTGAGTGTGCACACGGGCACTCTTTGAGCACGAGGAGAGATTCGCGATGGCAACGGACTTCTGCGCTCCAACAGTGCACTCTCGACATTTGACAGTAAAATAACGCCATATCTTTTTATTAAAGATCTTATTTTTGTGTTAAGGCCACAGGTGTGTTTTCAGGCTTAAGTCAAGTCACTGTTATGTGATGACCTGGGTCTTATAATAGCTTTATTTATGACTTAAACTACAGTCACACCCTCACTTTTTGTCCTGTGTGCTGCTTGTGTTTAGTGTGTGTAATACAGTATTTGATGAACTGAGTGTGCTGCCATCTGGTGGCTGGTGGGCTTATATGTGTTTATTACTTTGGGAATGTTTTGTAGGTATTTAAAGCAGAGAAAGGAAGTTTTGAACCATTTATAATACTGTGTTTTTTCTCTATTTCAGAATGTAGATGATAATTTAAACATGCAGTCAAACTGCAATAACACAAGTCAAATTCATCCATTGGCACAATTTATTCTTGCCCACCAAAATATAAACAGAAGCCTTTAAATAAAAGAACATTTAAGCTCAATTCAGTGTGTCCAACGTTTGACTGCCTGTGTATTTGTAACCTCCGTAATTCTGCCCTCTTTGGCGTTAAGGGTCGTTGTGACATTAACATCCGCAACAATCGCAATCAGACGCCGCTGCAGCTGGCTGTGACTCAGGGTCACATGGCTCTAGTGGCCCTGCTGGTGACGGAGGGGGCAGACGTCAACGCAGAGGATGAGGATGGAGACACAGCCATGCACATGGCTCTCAGCCGCCAGCAGCTGGCCACCGTCATGAGCAGCGGAGAGGGCGAAGGAGCACTGCTCTACAGCAGGGTAAGAGCAGGACAGTGACACAGATAGAGAGAGTGGAATACTAGCGCACTGCACACTTAATGAAATATGGATGCCTGCTGTAAACATGTACTTTTAAAACTATGATTATCTAAACCAGGGGCGCCGCTAAGGGGGAAAGTTTGGATGATTCTAAGGGCCCACACACTTTTGGGGCCCCCAGAGATCTGTTTTATTAGCAGTAACAGTACTAGTAGTAATGCAAAATAAACTATAAATGTATCTACCAAAGAGTTACAAATTAAACAAAATTACATTCTCTGCATGGTTCCGTCCCGTCCTACGTAGCCTAGAGTCACTGAGTGAGATCAGATGGTAAACTATAAGTCCGGTCATCAAGAGATCTAAATATTTGTGGATTGGAAACCAATGGAAAATTGACTGGCTTGTGCTGCAATGCTATGGATGTTTTGCCCGACAGGTCTTCGAGCCAGTCACGTGACTGAAAACTATGAATTGTAGCCTCTAAATTTGATAATGCTCAACACCATTGGTTCGAAGAACTGACAATGCTTTGTAAAGCCTTTTTTATCATGCCAGTAAAGCTGTTTGGAATCTCAATAGGGTATATGTCGAACATCACCTGACCAAACCCGGAAAACAGGTCTCATTGCTTCCGCTTGTCGGAGAACGTGTTAACAGCCGTATTAAATAATAGTGATATCTATGGACTTTTAATATAATCAGTTAAACTAGCTAGCTGTTTTTATTGTTGACGTTTTATTCAATTTTTATATCTAAATGTGAAAAGAATAAAAATAAAAAAAACTTTTAGATATCAGTCCGCATATGTGATGGACATTGGTTATGATCATCATTGGTATCTACTTTGAAGGCATCTCGAGTAAAACTGCTTCATATTTAACTAAGCATATGCAAAACGCTTGAACCGGAAGCGACAAGACCCGGTTAACAGAATACGGAAGTCTGTTGCGCATAACCCCTATTTACCAGTTGCTGATTGCGATGCAGATTTTTTCGAATAGGATGCACATCTCGACCACAGAACGTCTCTGTTCATGGTAAATATTGCCCTGGTCACACTGAGCCAATATTTATTCTGATGACTTTAGTGTGACTGATCACGCTGTAGCTAGTATGAGTAGCCTAACAAAATGCTTTCTCTGTCTAGATTTGACTACAATAATAATAACTGACACTTCAAATCAACATTTAAATTTCAACTTTTAATAAATGGTAGTCTTTAATCATGTCTGAAAATATATCAATGAATAACCTGATACAAGTAACATTTAATATTTAGTAAAATCCCCTTAAAATAATAAAAATATTAAAGAAAAAAAATATTATTGAGCTAAAATCACAAAAGCACAAATATATATTCGTTCTCATATAACTCTGCCTTCATTAATTTGTATGTTCATCTATAAGTGGTTGGGCTGTTTAATATTAGGATTTTGTTTAAAATCCCCCACCGCGGATTTTACCCCACCAATTCCCCGCCCTTCAACATCAAGCCCCGCCCCGCAGTACCCCCAGATAAAATATGTTCCCGCGGCTATGGGTAGGTCTCTGACTAAATACTGATACCTGGTGATCAAAAGCAATAGCAAAAGTAATAGGCTAGTATTATTAAATTGCAGACAAAGATTTTGGATAACTGTGTTCCTTTCATTGGGCCAAAATTGCTAGCAGTGCCCCTGATCTAAACAAATAGTAAAAGAAAAAAAAAAAGGTTTCGACATGGGTTTGTTTGAAGAAAGTAAACAGTCAGTAATAAGTCCAAAGAAACAAATGACAAGCAATATGATAGATGAATACAATAAAACAAAGGTACAAATGAAACAATGTTTTAAATAGGTCTATTGAATTGAATAAATTACTCCCATTCAAGAAACAGGCTCTCTGTTGGTAAGTGAGCCTCAGTTTCAGTTTGCTGGAGGCTTCGTCTCAACGGCGTTTTGAGCCCCTGCTGGAATATTTCCTTAAGCTTCTGTCTTTTGAGATGGCCTTGCTTCTGGCCACGGCTTCAGCCAAAACACGTCTCTCTGTTCATTCCTTGTGCACTAAATTCTCTCTCAGCGGATATATGATTTTTCTTAGGCCCAGCCTGGCCTTTATGCCTAAATGCTTCCCAGTGTGCACATGTGAGGTCATCGAGCTTTCGTCTTTTCACCCATCCCTTTTATACTCTGCGGAGGATCAGAGGTTGAATGCTCCGTGTCCTGTGCATGCATGGATAGCTTTTGATTTGTTGGCAATGCCTCTTTCATTGGCATATGAATCTAAGCGAGTCCAGCCCCCAGGGGCCCTTTAGAGCACACTCTACTAGGGGCATGGCTGCTTCTTGGGCTCTGTTTAGAAGAGTTTCATTGCAGGAAATTGCAAGTTGGGTCTGTCAGATACTACTAGCTTGATGATACCAGGACTCTGTTAGCTCATTCTGTACTCTACTCCTTCCCAAACCTTGGCTTGCCTGGCACCCGTTTCATTACTGTGTGGGTTGCCAGGTTTAATGATGTAAAGGTATTACTACATGCCATTGATACTGTATCGCCACCCATAGAGCACCTTTGGGATGTGTTAAGCATTGCCTTTGCAGGTGACTGAGCCCTGGCTTTCAGGGTCTCTCTGTGAATGTATGTCGAACACGAGATGATAAAAGCAATACACAACAATATAGGTTACTGTTTGTGGCACGTTTCTCTAAAACAGAGTGGAGAGATCCACCAAGATTGCCCCACTTGCTGCATGAGAAGCGAACATGCTGACTGAAAAGGTAGCTTGTGCAGGTCCTTTTATGTGCTCAGATAAGTGACGGTCTCTTACCTGGCATTGGATGCTTGTGCAGAGGTCAGGTACGAATGCCCTTCCCATAGGTGGATATTTTAGCTTTCCACAGTGTGATTCTGATCAAATTAGGGGTGTGTGGTATATATAATCTACGATAATATCATAATTGTCGTTTTAACAATGTGCAAATTTGACATTATCGAGTAAATAGCAAAACCCAAATGCATGCATTACGTGGTGAAGTCTAGTAGGTTAAACTAGTGCACGTGCGCATTTACAGTGTGTTCTTTCACTGCATGATTCAGTCTTTTAAAATGCATGTAGAATGATCACAAAATTCAAGATATAGGGGCAGGAAATCTATACATTTATATAATTTCATATAGTTAATATCACACGAAGAATGCCTTTTTTTTTCTTCAAAAATCAGCATGATTACAAATGTGATATTGATTTTATACAGCAGTTCAATACCAGGAAAGTAATATTAAGAGACTTATGTTTTAGACACTATATTGCCTGTTTTTGCCTGTTTCCTGAATGAATCAGTTTATATGATTCGTTTCATCACAGTGACTCACTTATTAACAGTGACTTGCTGCCACCTACTGGCGGTTTTAATTTCACATTTAAAGCATCTTTTCCATGTTTTTAATCATTTCAAATATAAGTATTCAACGTTTTATGTTTAAAATATCAAAACATTATTTATGCGTTTGTAACTGCAGGTTAAAGCATTCCATGTGCCTCTGAGCTGCATTAAACTGTGTTTAAATGCATCTAAACGCTGTGTTTCCCTGCACTGCAAAGATGAATTTTGTTGATACTGATTTCATTTGCTTGGTAACAGCCCAAATATCTTCTTATTCTCATTGACTGATTAAATGTAAGAATCTGACTCAAAAGATGATGCACACTTTTAGAAAAAATGGCTTTATAAAGGTAAAAATGCCCATAAAAGGTAAAAATTAATTTTAACTGATTAAAACCGATTCATTTCTGTCACTGCTGTGAACTGACCACCACACTAGGAGTGTAACGGTTCTCGGTATAAAATCGAACCGTACCGTTCTCCACCCGCGGTTCAACGATATGGTTTGTTCAAAATAACAACACCACGTAAAACAAGACAGAGTTGGGCTAATGTATGTTTCTGTTGATGGATATGCATTCTGGCTTCCCAAGACATTAACAGCGATGAACAAAAGAAAAGTGGAGAAAGCAGTCACTGTTAGTAAAGTTTGTTCAGTGCGAGTGCCGTATGCTGGAGGATGAGCAGTCATTATGCCGTCATCACCCGGGTGTTTAGAGCGAGACACACGCTGCTATCTGTGTTTAAACTAAACGCATTTAAGCCTCGCCAGTTTCAACATTCAAGAGCCAGAAGACGTGAATGAGAAGAATCCGCGTCTCAGACAGCGCACAAATACTGAGCTCTCTTTCAAGACTTGTGCTTGAATGGACAAATTCACACACAAATGATAACATGCCCGTCTTGCTGAGTTTCCTAGCAGACACAGTGAACGTACCGTATCAGTGTACTGGATCCGTGCAATGTCTTAAAGTGACAGCCGGCTATATTCCTGCTGTCTGTGTTTTTAATGTTAATCAAACAACAAAAGACAAGGAAATCACTCACTGCTCTTGACTGAATAACTTTTGTAACTTTAATAAGGATTCATCTTCAACTTATACAGTCAAATATGCAATGCTATTTTACTTTTGATTACTTTATTCAGTTTCTGTACCTAAAAACTAATGTTAGACCTACCTAAAAACCTGAAAAGCACTGTTTATTTTATTTATCTTTGCTCTATTGTATTTATTTGTGCTGTTGCATAGATTTTGTTTTCATTTTATTATTTGACAGTATAGTCCTTTTTTCCCTAAAATAGCTTTAGCAGTCAGCTGTCCACGGTAGTCCTTATGGTACCAGCACAATAACAAACTATAGCAAAAATATTGTCTAATTTTTGTTATCGATAAAATCCCAGAAAATGTCGAGATATTTTTTTTTTGTCAATATCGCACACCCCGAATCAAATGATAATGATTCATAAATAGAAGATAGTTGCATTCGCTTCCGTTGCGTTTGTCTTTCTTGAAATGTGGGACACAGTATTCCAGGAAAGTGTGCTCTGCTGAATGCTACACAGTTTAGTAAACGTAGTACGTCATCCAGGTATTCCATGTGTTCCATGTAAAAATTCACATACTGTGCTGAAATAACAGAAGCCGTGCGCACCGGAGTAGCATCTGTACAGTATTATAATCAGTGGTGTTTATTGCTTCCTTCTTTGCGTGTAGTTGTGTAGCTCAGGGCTGATGGGAAACACGGAGCTGAACGTAGGAGCTGCTATCGCTTGCTTCTTGGCACAGGAAGGGGCCGATATCAGTTATGCCAACCATAAAGGTAAAAGCCCACTGGACCTGGTTACAGACAGCAGCGTACAAACTCTCATCAGGAGCTTCGCAGAAAAGCACAGGTGTGTCTCGGCGTGTTGATTGTGCTGCTCACTGATTGAGGGATCTGATCAGATGTGATCTTGACGTGTTGTGTGTGTGTTCAGGCTTCAAGCCGTCACGTGTGGCACAGGCACGAGCAGCAGCAGTCTCAGGCGAGTACACACTACACCCAACACCATGACCAACCTGGCCATGCCCAGCGCGACGGGCCCCAGTGAGTGCCTCATCTGCTCCGAGCTCGCACTGCTGGTGCTGTTCTCTCCATGTCAACACAGCGTCGCCTGCGAGGGTGAGCTTACTAAACTCAAGTCCAGACCTGTTGTTGTTGGATGAAAATATAGGTTTGCTCAGAAACACATCAAAATGTGGTAGTTAAGTTGGCCACGAATTATAGAAGTTTTTTGTTTTACTTGCCTATATAGTTGGTCTACAGAAACTCTGTCCTGTGTTGTATCTATTCAGAATGTGCTCACAGAATGAAGAAATGTATCCGGTGCCAGGTGGCAATAACAAAGAAAATTCGGCAAGGTAAGCATTTTTACATTTGAATTACGATAATATTTTATGCTTTTTCATGTTGGTTCATTCTGAGAAGAAACAGTATTGTTGCTCCATGGCCTGCTTTCCAAATGATAAACACTTTAGAACAGAATAAAGTTAATAACGGTTAATGATGCCCTTTTTAAAATGAGCACACAGTGTTACGGTCTGCATATGCTAAGCTCTTAATTGATCTAATTTGGTGACATTCTACTTGAATTACCAAATTTCTCTCAAACATTAGTTGTAAAAAAAACAGAAGAATGAAGTCTCATACCCCATAGAAACCTGTTAAATAAAACCTGGGCTCTAGATTCTAGACTCATCCGTCTGTCTTCAGACATCGATAAGATGCTAAATACATTTGGCCTTATATTTACATTGTCATTTTGCAGACGCTTTTATCCAAAGCGACTTACAATTGGGGAATACATAAAGCGATTCTTCTTAAAGAGGCAAACAGACACAGGAAGTGATTGTAACACCAAGTTTTAGGCATTGTTCAAATAAGTACAAGCTAGAAAGGGAAAAAATAAATAAAGAGACAAAGTAGAAATATGTGGCCTTCCAGTACATGAAGCCTGCTTAGCTTTTCCCTTCAGAATGGTTTTCTGTAAAATAGATGATGGGATGATTACGTTTGTGCACAGCAGGCTGTTTATCACCATTACGGTGCAAAAGTTAGTCTTTCTAATCAACAGCACATCAAGAAGCATGAACTGTCCTTTGAACAGGCCTTTATGGGCGACTGATTTGGAGAGAAATTGTGTTCTCCCTGGTCGTAGCTGCACTTTTGTGTCCCCGCGGACTGTGAATGAATTGTGGTGTAATTCTGAACGTTTACTGTGAAACTTTGCTCTTTCGCGTCAGTAAAAATGAAGGGAACTAAATACTGTTATGACACAGGTACCAGTAATCAAAGATGGAAGGAGCAACTGAAAGGAATTTTGTTCCTGTTCTCTATTACTTTTTTGTAATTATTGCTATTTTAGTTTTAGTTCTTTCTTTGGCTAATTGTGGTATGTTGTGCTTGGAATTGAGCATGTCCGTTTCTTGAAAGCAGACCAGACGGAGGTGGAGTGCAGCCCCAGCTCGGAGAACTCGGAGCAGCACAACCTGCTGGAGCAGCTGCAGTCGCGCTACAGACAGATGGAGGAGCGCATCACCTGCCCCATCTGCATCGACAACCACATCAAGCTGGTGTTCCAGTGCGGACACGCCTCCTGCATCGACTGCAGCGCCGCGCTCAAGACCTGTCCCATCTGCCGGCAGACCATCCGCGAGAGGATCCAGCTGTTCGTCTGAATTGCATGGCTCTGAAGGGAAGACGGTTGGCTGTTTGTGCTTCATAGTCTGTCCTGTCCTGAGCCTCATCATTTAGCCATAAAGCAGGAGCGCCAGACCGGAGGATGTGAGCGGGCGCTAGATGGCCAACCAATGCCTGCCTTTGGTTTTGCTTGTCTGCGTGTGCATCGCGTTGAACATCTGCAGGGTTTTCAGCCGTTTAGGACCTGGTTTTGGATCTGCATCTACAGTATTACCTAGTGAAGAGGAGTCTATCAGACATCAGAAGATATGCCTCATGCTGCTGAAGAGCTAGATTATAGGGAACCCTAACACAAACCCAGCATGCAGCGTGAGCTGTGTCACATCAGCCCCGTGCAGAAAGCATCTCACGAAACCTGTCGGGACCTGGGCCATATTTTACACTAAAATCCAAAGGGAGAAATCATGTTGTGTGTAAAAAAAAAAAAAAAAAGGAAGATATTTAGCGGTGCATACAATGATTTTATTTTGTGACATTTTCACCTTCAATTCTCGTTACTGTAATGCTCAAAATATTAAGTGTGTATGCATCATGGTAGTTCAGAATTGGTTTTACTCTAGCTTTAATTTATGCCAATAGAAACGTTTTTACAGTATTTTTACAGTGAATATAATGAACATAAAAACAGGCTTCGTGTCAAATGTAATTCATTCTTTTTGTTCATGTGATTTTGGGGTGAAATATGATCTGGTTTCCATGAGATCCCACCAAACACGGTGATCCAGCGCTCGCTGCTGCTTCAATCAACTCTTCAAACACTAACTTCATTCTGAGCCGAGTCTGATGTACATTAAAGTGCAGTCCCAGCGTCCCAGAGAATGGCGTTTCTTTTATCAGATGCCTGTACCGGTCCACTCACAGATCTAGAACTTACACAAGCAAGAGATATACATAATGCATGCTGGTGAGCGTATTATCTACGTCATATATATGGTCACGAATACCATTTGTAGTGTTATAAGTGCCCATGTGTGATAATGGCTCTGTGTCTTGAGGGTCCGACTGAAAGACCCTTAATAGCACAATAGTAGATTGATTTGTGTCAGCATTGGTGCCGAATGCTTCCTAATCCTAGGAGTTCTTTAGTTTTCTCAGGTTCATGCAAGTCAGTAACCCACTGTAAACTTTACAAACTTTACAAAACGTGCAACCTTATCCACTGGCATTGCATGACATTATATAAAGTGTTTATTAGCCTCATATCTCCCACAGTAATGCTTTGCCTAAATGTATTCTGGGATTGAACATCACTTGTTTTAACAGTGACAATGAGTTGGGAACTCTTCAAGGCTGCAGGTGATTGGACAACCTCTAGAATTGTCAAAAACGACTTCAAGAAAAGACTTCATCACTGCTGTCAGTATTTTCTCACCCCCATGTCATTCAAAACCCGTGCGAGTTTAGTTTTTGGTTTTTTTGTGGAACACAAAGTAGAATTTTTGGAAGAGTCACCATATACTGTTACACTTTTCCATACATCAGTTCAAATGGTGTCGTTTTTGAGATAACTATTTCTGCGATGGTGATTGTAATTTACCTTCTATTAGGATGTACAGTAAAAAAATCTGTTAGCGAGGCAGTTGGGTGTGAAAGTGGTCAGAAAGTGTAGTTTACCATTGTTAGTTGAAATATTTCAAACGTTCCCCAACATGAATTAGGCCTGTAAGTACTTCAGCATCAGTTCATATTCCCTCCTAGAGTCTAATTGTCCATGAAGTGTTTTTGTTCCAGAAGAGCTTTACACTGTGTGCATTTATGGAGTTTATTCTATTTTATTGTACGTGTCATTCTGTGATGGGCTTTTTCATAGCTCCCTCTTTTGGGATAGCCAACACAAACATGTGGATGTGAATGTCTCGCTGTACGCCAGCCGCTGCAGAGCTTTGCAGTTCGTGAGAAATGCGATGGCGGTATTAATGCCAAATTTTGTCAGCGTGTGTAAGAGAGCACACATGCGTACGAGAGCATCGTGTCCGTATCAAGCCTTTGTAATGTGTTGATTTAACTTATCGGCCCTCGTTACAGGGCTGGACATTTTATAATTTGTTGAATGTGTAGTTCTTTTGCTTTTTCAATTAAGAGAACAGTAGTTTAACATGAAAGTCATCCGTGACTTCTTAGAATAGAATAGTGTTATCTAGTTTAATGAAGCTTATCTGCTAACAGCTCACAAATACAACAACTGCCCAGAAGCCACGAGTTCTACTCAAACACTTGCTGTTTCATACATTATTCCTGTTAATATACAGTGTATCCTGAAGTTTGCGATATGATATACAGTATATGGCAAAAGATCTTGTAAACGAAGCCATCGTGCATCATTCATTCTGAGGTTCCCGCTGGCTTTCCAATCAAAACTCCATTTCTCCAATAGTTTCAGAGTTAACTTGACTTCACTATTGGAGAAATGGAGCCAGTGAAATTCAGAATTCAATTGCAGAATTTTATGTAGAATATCTAGAGTTCATCTAGAACTGTTCATTTGTTTTGACAATATTGTTTGTGCTGTACATAATCATAATTCAAAAGTAATAAAAATATATGTGAGTTGTCAGCAGGCAAGGACAAAAACAATAATGAACTACAGAAATGGTTTGCTGAGTTTTACTTCAAGGAAAGTCTAAGTTACAAAATGTTTATACAGTTCATTTTGTGGAGTTCTGCTGTTGGCCTTACTGTCCATTTCCTGTATTTATTTTGTTTTACTCTGTAAAAAATATTTTGCAGTAAATATTGAACTGTTTTTAAGCATATATTTATGGTTTCATTTTTTGGGTGCTTGTGGTGGGATCTAAGAATTTTACCAGTGAATAAAACTGACAATGAATTTCGTTTGAATATTGATATGAAAAGTGAGGTATTGAGGTGATGTGGTTAGTCATCACAAGTCATTTAGAGAAATGTACAGCATTTCAAAGTGTATAGACTGGACTGATTACGAGAAAGACTTCAAGATACATGACAGTGTCATTTTCAAAATATTGGTTCAGAATGTGTGCACAGCTGTGCCATAATAGATCATATTATGTGTCCTGGGTTTTTTTTTTTTTTTCTGAAAATGTAGGGATTCTAAAATGAGTTCTTCAGTTATGCTCATGGGGGGTCACTGGATTACTAGAATATTGCACGCTGGTGTGTTCAATCAGGGCTAGAACTAAACTGCAGATCAGGAAATAAATGTAATAAATTATTATTAGAATTTTAATGAATACATTAGTAAGTAAATATATGTTTGACTAAAATCTTATTTTTTGTGCAGTATACATATTTATAATTCTGTTTTCCCCCCTCCTCCATACTAATGAAGTGGCTTCTGAGTGCAAGAAGGGTAATACTAATAGTTAATTCCTGGCAGATGCCTTAGTACATAGTTACAACAGTGTAATGGCCTATTTCACCAAGCTGGTTTCAGCGGCTATCCAGGTAAGTTTGAGTTTAGTTTCATCAAACTCTTTATCAGGCTCAAGAAGGTGGATTGTTTTTAGTGATGTTTATCACTTTGGTAATTTACACTAAACTGCTCACCTGTCCAGTTTTCCATCCATTCATCCAATATAGGGTTTATTGTGGGTAAGATATTGCAACACCAAACTGGACCATTGAGCAAAGTGACATATAGATGTATATATACAGTTGTGGTCAGAATTGTTGGCACCCTAAAAATGATTAAATAAGGCTGTGAATATAAATCTGCATTGAAAAAACTAACCTTTAAATTTTTAGCACGCCAGGGTGAGTACAAACATGAAATTTGTCCAGCCGTGGCTTCCTGAAAAAAATCCCATTTCCACCGTCAGGGCAATAATTAAGAATTTCCAATCAACAGAAAATTAAATCTTCCTGGAAGACTACGTGTGTCTTACAGCAAGGCGAGGAGGAGAGTTTGAGTGGCCAAAGACTCTCCGAGGATCACAGCTGGAGAATTGCAGAAAATAGTTGAGTCTCGAGGTCAGAAAATCAAACAGCACCTACAGCACCACACGTTGTTTGGGAGGGTTTAAAAAAAAAAAAAACTGCTCTCACAGCAAACCCACCAGAGGGGTTTGAAACAAACAGGGATCAAAAGTAGCCCATGCTCACAGATATGCTGCTGGATCTTTAAAGGGGTCATATGATGCGATTTCAATTTTTCCTTTCTGTTTGGAGTGTTACAAGCTCTTGGTGCATAAAGAAGATCTGTAAAGTTGCAAAGACTAAAGTCTCAAATCCAAAGAGATATTCTTTATAAAAGTTCAGAGTCAGCCACACCTACCTAAAACGGCTCGTTCTAACACGCCCCCACATATCTATGTCACTATGTGGAAAGATTTGCATAACGCCGCCCAAATGTTCATGCAAAGAAAGAAGGCGTAACTTTTATTCTCGCTGT